CAAAAAAGAGGAGGTGAACGGCCATTTTAACAGATGCTGTCATAATGGTCTTCTCAGACTTGCCGAGCCGGGAATCAAAGACCAATTTCGCGACCTTTTCTCCAAACCCATTTTCATGACCAACATTTTGAGGTACAACAGTTGTATGGCTTTTGCATCTCTGTCTGCTTCCTAAGCTCATATAATTTAGAACCAAATCTTCTGCTATCGAATACGAAAAATCATGGAGAATTTAAGATTTATGTTGACCAGCTTCTCGAAAGAAAAATAAAATTTCTAAGGAAGTCTGCTACGTCGCAAAAGGAGAAACGTCGTCTCTCATTTTGCCCAAAAATATGTATGTATAAAATTGAAGGCATTATGACTGGCCTCTCTCAACTGGACTGCATTTTGCAATTTGGAACTATAAATCCTGGCTCTTCTGGAAAAACACTTGTAAGCATAAGGAAACTAATGGCACATACGTTGTTTTTAAACCAGACTAGAATTTATAGTTCCAAATTGCAAAATGTAGTCCAACTTATATTCGTATGTAACGATAAACAATGTGACGCGTTTGCCACGGCGCCTTGATACAACTATACAACCTCGACGGATGTCCGTATTGCGTTCAAATAATTGAAGGGGTTTTGACTTCCTCCGCATAGTACGTGTAGTTGATTCGATCGACAAACGCGTTGGTCGGCGGTGACGGGGACTTGATGCATTTTTTTAAACTTGATAGATGTCCGTATCGAACCGACTGAAGTGCGAAACCACGTATCTCCGTTGCGGTGTTTCAAAATTTCCGTTCGTAATTCATCTCTTCCATGAGAAACAATCCAAATTTACGACTTTACATTTTGAACCAAATCTTCTGCTATCGAATACGAAAAATCATGGAGAATTTAAGTTTTATGTTGACCAGCTTCTCGAAAGAAAAATAAAATTTCTAAGGAAGTCTGCAACGTCGCAAAAGGAGAAACGTCGTCTCTCATTTTGCCCAAAAATATGTATGTATAAAATTGAAGGCATTATGACTGGCCTCTCTCAACTTATATTCGTACGTAACGATAAACAATGAGACGCGTTTGCTACGGCGCCTTGATACAACTATACAACCTCGACGGATGTCCATATTGCGTTCAAAAAATTGAAGGCGTTTTGACTTCCTCCGCATAGTACCTGTAGTTGATTCGATCGACAAACGCGTTGGTCGGCGGTGACGGGGACTTGATGCATTTTTTTAAACTTGATAGTTGTCCGTATCGAACCGACTGAAGTGCGAAACCACGTATCTCCGTTGCGGTGTTTCAAAATTTCCGTTCGTAATTCATCTCTTCCATGAGAAACAATCCAAATTTACGACTTTACATTTTGAACCAAATCTTCTGCTATCGAATACGAAAAATCATGGAGAATTTAAGTTTTATGTCGACCAGCTTCTCGATGGAAAAATAAAATTTCAATAATTTTTCCATCACAATACTGGCACTTCACATTTAAAAGTCCGAAATTATTTTCCGGAAAATCATTTTCGATAAAATTATCAGTGCTCTGCCGAACTGAATTGAGGTTATTTCCCTGTTCACCCCTACGTCGTACATTATCCATCTCACTGAGATAGCCATCATGCCGCACTTTGACTCTGACTCGGCACTTCGCCGTGACTTGAGTTTGGTGTGTTACTTATGCACCCACTATATGGTCCCGTAACTGCGGATTTTGTCCAAGTCAGGACATGGGAAATGTACTGAAATTTCATAAGAGCCTGGATTAACCGGTTTACATGTTGCAATAAGGAACCACTATCTCTGGCCCATTTTAGAAACAGCACACATGACATTGGTTTCTCTATGCAGGTGTGTGATTTTTCGGGAGAACCAGAAATAGTGGTTCCTTACTGAAAAATATAATCCAACTCGAGTTCGGTACACTGATGAAAATATTCTTGTTCTTGTGATACTTTTGGTCAATATAGGAAGTAAAACACAAACCAACACAAATTTTGCGCAGAACACTGTGCAGAGTCCTGAAAAATGCATTCCTCTGATCTCAACATTGGTATTCACACTCGTTGTGTATTATATTTTTTCACGAAAACATGCCGGCATTCGCTCTTGAAATCGTCAACCGAAGGCCAGGGTTATTGTGTTTTACTTCCCGTGTCATAACCAAACTTCTGTTTTAAAATTACTCTGTGTGCATACACGAAAACATTCTGGCATTTTCTCTCAAAATCGTCAACCGAAGGCTAGGGTTATTTTGTGTTTTACTTCCCGTAGTAACCAAAATTTTGTGTTGAAATTACTGTGTGTGCGTTCACGAAAACATGCCGGCATTAACTCTTGAAATCGTCAACCGAACGCGAGGGTTATTTTGTGTTTTACTTCCCGTAGTAATAACCGAACTTTTGTGTTGAAATTACTCTGTGTGCATCCACGTAATCGTATCGAAATCTTACGTACGTACGTATCTAAGCTCTCATCATGAAACTCACGTACCTATCTACGCCATCTCATCCTAAAACTCACGTACCTATCTACGCTATCTCATCATAAAACTCACGTACCTATCGACGCTATTTCATCATAAGACTCACGTATCTATCTACGCTATCTCATCATTAAACTTACGTACCTGTCTTATAAATCTCACGTTTTGCGTAATTGTGCGTGTAAGATTTAGATGAGGAAACACGTATTGTCATAGTTAATTCGAGTTGTCAACATCCCCACGTTGCGAAACCGCACCGGCATCCCCGGGTCCAGGAACCGGAAAGCGAAAGTGAAAGCACCTGATCCGATCCCGGTCCTGGGATCGCTTCCTCGCCGAGGCCGGAGATCTCGAGAGCGAAGAAAGGTGGGTGCGCCTGGCTGCGCCGAGCCGTGTGGCGCGCCGGCCGCCGAGCCCCCCTTCCCCCCCGGGGGGAGGGAGGGGGTGGAGGGTAGGGTGGTCGGGTGGTCCAGACCATGTGGACCGGGTCTTGGTGTCCTCGCTCGTTGGGTCTTACTCTGGGCCATCGCCGTCACGGGATGTCTTTATCCGAGCCACGGGCAGCGTTGCCGGGTTGGGCGGTAGGTGTGGGGCTGGCCGAACGCCGGGGTTTGTTTTTTAAAGGCGCTTTGGAGGCGCCGGGTCGGGTCGTAGTTTTCTGGGCGCAAGCTGACGACCATCTGTTCGCTTTTACTCCACCTTCTCGTCTATTTTAACCCTCGATCAGGATCCTCCTTTTACCATTTCCCATGCTGCGTTGCCGCCGCGAACGCTCCCTCCGCAGCGTGAAAGGGATACTGCCGTGCTAAGGAAGAACGCCGTAAGAACATTCGAGAGTTGCCACGTTTCTTTCTACAAAATTTTTATTTTTGAGGAGAGTTGTGAATATTTTCTCTTGAAATTTTCAGGAATTTTAGGTGAAATTGCGTACAAAATAATCTGAAAAATCGGAAGGTTAATATTCATACATTCACTAAGAAATTCGCGCTTTATCAAAGGAAATTTGGCAACGCTAGAAGGTTCATACGGCGTTTTTCCTTAGCACGGCAGGATACTAATGAAGTTCTTCGTGGAAACGACGTTTGAGTCGCGCATTGCTGCATCAATTATCCAATTTGACACGTTATTTGCTTATGACCAATTTGGAGGCTGTTCCTCTGGAGTCTTCACCCCCAAAACTTACTCATTTTTCTGTAAAAATAATAATTGGATCACAATTTTGAATAAGGAATCCCTATTCTGCCGTGCTAAGGAAGAACGCCGTATGAACATTCGAGAGTTGCCAGATTTCCTTTGATAAAATGTTTATTTTTGAAGAAAATTATAAATATTTTTCCTTGAAATTTTCAGAAATTTTAGATCAAATTACAAACAAAATTATCTGAAAAATTGGTAGACAAGCATTTAAAAATTCTCCTGAAAATTAGTGATTTGCCAGGGGAAATTTGGCAACGCCTGAAGGCTCATACTACGTTTTTCCATAGCACGGCAGTATTACTGGCTCATTCATAAGAGTGTCCATGTGTATATAGGGGAGCTTATGGCTCATCTATATATCGTATCTAAAATCTAGCAATAAATAGTAATGTTGTATCTATACGTTGTATCTACGTACGTATCTACGTTGTTTCGTGCGAGAAACTACGGAAGGGGCCAGTTGCGTGGTCGGGAAGTTTCTGCACCCTTGCGATTTTTGAGTTTTAAGTAAGTCTAAATCAGCTTACATCAAGGGTTCGTAATTTGTGTATGTTTTGGATCGCATTTAGCAAAAAAGAATCAGCGGGATTACAGTGTTGTAAAAATGTTGCTCCTCCATAATTATCTAAAAAATCTCCCAGAACAGCAAATACCTAGTTTTGCCTCCCATTAAAAAATTGTTAATTGAAAGGAAAATAATCGTGTAAATTTGAATACTATACATGTATCAAGGATTTTTAAAAGGAGAGGAGAAACACCGTTTTGAAAATACTGTAATCGCGCTGGTTCCTTTTTGCCAAATGCGATCCTACTCCGAGAAAAAAACTTCGTGCATGAGACCCGAAGTTGAGGTCACATGGATCTCTAAAGTTTTCGGACCACGCATCCGTAAACTGGAGGTCCAGCTGCCGAAGCTCGGGTCACACATCTCGGGTCAGAGGTACATACCGGAAGGTTCGGGTCACACATCTGAAGTACTCCGGCACATACCGAAGCACTTCAAGTGTCTGACCCGAACTTGGGGAGTTGGACCTCAAGTTTTTGGATGCGTGATCCGAAAACTTCAGAGATCCATATGAACGTATTTCTGTCAAACGGACCTAAGCGCCATGGAAAAGCATTGCGAGTATAGGAAGGAATGAGCCCGACGCCCGGTTTCGCCGCCAATCCAAGCTCCCATGTACCTGCCTCACCCTATGGCGCTTAGTTCCGTTTGACAGCAATACGTCCATATGACCTCAGCTTTGGGTCCCATGCACGGAGTTTTTTTCTCGGTGTATTTGTCTCTGCTAATTCTAATCTGCAATGTTTGATTGTATCTGTTGCAGGGATGTTTCTTCAGCAAGTGTCGCTGATGGTGGTTTACTTGGCGAGCATGGCACTGGGGATGGAGATCAGCCACGTGGGTGACTCGGACTTGTCCGTTGGCGGGGGTTGGGGGGCCCCGGAGGGCGAGAAGGTGAGCTCCTGCTACGAGGCCCAGCAGAAGTGCGCCTACCGGAGCGGGTGCAGCTTCGCGCTGACCAGGTACTTCTCCGGCTGCTACAGCGTCCTCAACGACCCCAACCCCAACCCCAGCCACTGCCCGACCTCCTGCCAGCACGCTCTCATCGCCCTCACGTCCTCCGACGAAGGCAAGGAATTGACGCAGGTGAGAATCACTCCGTTCTATCATTCGGCAGAGTCCAGGGTGTCTACAAGTCCGGAATTTCCGAAAAGTCCGGAAATAGTACTGATTTTTTAAGAGCGGTCCGGAAGTACTGAAAAATTGCGCGAATTCCGCCAAAAGGTCCGGATTTTTTTTTTTTTTTTAATTATTTGTCTATTTTTGTCGCGATTTCAAATTTTGGAAATTTTTCTAATTTCGTCAAATGGAGGTATTGAAAAAGAACGGAATTGTTCTGTTGGAGGAAGTACTGAATTTCTTGAGAATGCACTGAAATAGTACTGTAAAAGTACTTATTTTTGACCAGCCTGTTCTAATAGACACCCTGAAAGTCAAGGCTCCTCTAAAATTCGCGCATTTCATCCTTCAATCAGCCGCTTATGCAACAAATTATCCTCAGAGTTGAAATAGTTATCTACTCTGCGCCTTACACTGTACCGTTGCCTACGAGAGTGGAAAGGCCGTAACTACTCGGTTTCGTGACGTCGAACTAGTAGAGCAATCGCCGTGTTAGCCAATCAGAGCCGCCGCCGATCGGCCCAAGTTGCATGAGCAGCGCGTTTGAATCTTAGTAGGGTAACGATTTTCAGTATTTAGCAGTGTTTAGCTTTTATTTCCTCAATTATCAGGCAATGTAATTTACGAACTAGGCAGCTGTCTGAAGTGAAATTTCATCTTCTTTCAAAAAGGTCCTATGAATTTTTGCATCAGATCTAGAGACTATCAGACCTGAAGAGATATTAGCACTAAAGGAACATGTGTCATGCGTTCTCCCTTAAGAACACACGTTTAATCGCGGCCGAGTTTCATCTATCAGCGTGACGTCACAGACTCGTAGTTACGGCTTCTCTATTCTCGTAGGCAACGGGTGGACAGCACTGCCGGCCGTCCAAAGGAAAAACGCCGTATTAGCATTCGAGAGTTGCCGAATTTTTCCAAATAATACATGTGTTTTTCAGGAAAGTTGTACATATTTAATGGGCTGTCGGGGGGCAAGGCGCGTAAGTGCAGTTTTTGCTATTTCGAGAAATACCTACGTGTTTGAAGCTTCAAAATTACACGGATCCTAATGGCGAAAAGAAAGCTCAGACTGACTTAAAAAGAGAGATGCTAAAAAATTTTAATTTGGGAGCGAATTTTTCACAGAATATGCATTCAGATTAGTTTTTCTTGAAATCATTAATATCTTGAATTTTTCAAAAACTGCACTCATGCATTTTGTCCTTCAAGCCCCTCATTTGCCCTTGAAATAGTCGGATCTATCAGGTTTAATTGCGAATTAAATTGTCTGAAAATTTTAAAGAAAAGTTTTCACGATATCCTCCCTCAATTCGTTTTTAATCGAAGGATGAAGACCTTAGTTTACGCCGAGTGCCCATCCGAAGAGAATACTGCAATGGCTAGGAGGAACGCTATGTGGACTTTCGAAGTTGTCCAACGAAGAAGGGAGATCGACAAAGGCCGTTTTTTGGCCCACCCGAGCAGAATATCCTCAACTTTACGATTTTGTTCTCGTTGTGAGTCTTATTTTTTTGGAATGCATCATGGTTTGGTCATCTTCGGGTCCAATACTAGCTTACACTTGGGTCTGACGGCCGACTTCGGCGAAAACTGTGTATTTTCAGTGTTATTTTGACCTCAAACCCGCTAACCCGCATTTTTCACCAAAATCGGCCCTCACACCCACGTTTAGGTCAGTACATGGTAGACCTGAAAAGAGACAGAAAATGACTGGATCACAGTGCATTCCGCGAAGGCATAAAATATGAGCGAAAAATCATAGAGCCAAGGCAATTTAGGATTGGCACCAAAACGACCCTTATAGATACCCCAGAATATCCCTCCTTTCCGCGTTTAAAATATTTTTAAATACAAATTGAATAATTTTTGCAATGAGAACGTCCGTGCCATGCATCCCTCGTAATATTCTGCAACGAAGAATGTATTTTCCTGCTAAGCTTATCATTCTCATAAATTCCGAAAAATTTGGGAAAAAAAGACCAATAAAAATGGAGGGGAAACATTACTTTGAATTGACACTGCAGGACTGCAATGAAGGAAGAAATTAAAACAACACCAAAAGGCTTGCACAGCGGCCCTCCTTCGCAAGGCATAATATTTTCGTACATATGCTTCAATTCGATCGGTTCAACAGTTTTAAACACTGGCGTGAAATACTTTTATTTTAAAGGAATGAATACCACTATTTTATCTCCCGAGTCACCGTATTGCCTACTTCGTCAAATGGAGGCGATTCTTGGGTGCACATCAGCATATTACTAATGAACCGAGTTTACGAGACAAACACCATACCATGGATTTCAACTCAACTTTTTGATTCAACCCTATAAAAATTGCTCTATTGATATAGTTTCCTTGATGATTTAAGGTCCCGTGGATGGTCACAATGGAAGAAAATTATGACACCGCCCCGTATATTCTTTCAATCTTCCTCGTTTCACTGAAAAAATTCGCCTGTATTTTATACACTATGTGTATTATTATTTATTTTGTTTTTTTTCAATACCCAAATATAGTCCGTGTACGTTTGATAGTACGTTCTTCGCGACCAAAAATCCCTCTAATTGTAACCCCCGTGGACAGAAACCCTTTTTACCCGAGGCCAGTCTCAAAATGTTAGCCTCCATCATACCCTTACCTTCTTTTTATTCCACTAAAAAACCTCATCTCCGTCTTTCGTGATGTAATATTTTACAATCATCATAACTTATTTACGTAGAAATAAATTAACCACGTTATTTGCCGTAAACAATAAGTAATATTCTCTCTCGTATTGCAAGGCACCTGCCGAATGCCCGGTTCGACATCCGTGTATACGAGTATAACCGCGTTCGTCCTCCTTCGACTAAATTTCTTTTTTTGAAAATTCGATCCTCGCACGACGAAGCGTCCGCGATGAAGTAATTTGGCCCACTTTTTTTTCTCGATTCTGCGAGGTTCAGCACATCGTGGCGCGCAACCTGGCAGAAAGGTGAGGTCGCTGAGGTGACATCGGATGTTCAACTCCGAAGACTTGACGCGTTTCAGCTTTTCCCACGCGCCCGGGCCCAGGCATTTCTACTGCTGAAGTGTTAATTGCCTTGCCTTGGATTTCCGTATCCGGTGTCAACGTAGAGAAAGCGACGCTGTCGGCTCAGTCGAATTATGCCGCATTTTTATAGCATACTGCCGTGCGAAGGAAGAACGCCGTATGAGCCTTTAAATGTTGCTAAGTCTCCTTCGATAAAAACCGAATTTACTGGACAAAGAGTGAATATTTTTGCTCAAATTTTTCAGACAATTTTGTACGCAGTTTAATCTCAAATTTCTGAAAATTTCAAGGAAAAATATGCATGAATGCCGTCCGAAATGCATGATTTACTGAGGACAATTTTTCAACCCCTGAATGTTCATACGGCGTTCCTCCTTAGCACGGCATCGATGCTTAAAAATTGGAATTCCGGAACGACTTTTTCACATGGATTAAGACTATTTTTCATATGCATTATTACAAGTTTTACTTAAAATCATCAACATCTAAATTTTTCCAAACACTGCTCTTACGCCTTGTCTTCCAAGCCCCTCAATTGTTTCGCCTTGAAAAAATCAAAAAAAAGAGTAGAGATTTTGAAACGCTGCAATGGAGATACGTCGTTTTGCGCTTCAGCCATCTTTACACTTCAGGAGACTGGAAGGTTTTTCTCATCGAATTTCAACATCCAATTTTCCGACCCAACTTGACAAATATTCCTCTTCACGCATGAACTCTGAAACGTTTTTTCCGCTTAGCTAAGAGGTGTTCATTGATTTTAAAAGTATCTCAAATTGTTTTCATGTAACTGAGACATTGTTCGTCTTGATTTTTAATATTGACGCCAATATTATGATCGGTGCAACTGATAAGCGAATGTATTTCTCTGCCAAGCGGAACTGCATTAGGTATGACGTGAGTCCTGTTATGCATATATTCTTATGGGTCTCAGGGCTCATGTCTTGGCGCACATAGTTCCGTTTGACAAAAATACGTTTCCCGAACGAAGGAACGTAACTCCATTCCAAGGCTTACAGTATCGATTCAAACAATTCAACTTTTTTAGGAGGTTGGACCTGTGAATTTTTTTTTTTTTTCAAAATTTGTGTGATTTTTGCATGAGGTCAGAAGAATAATCAGTGAAATTTTCAGGCAGGAATTTCCAAGATTCGCATTGTAAACATATAATTAGCGCAGGACAATTTGGCAATCCTGAAATTAAGTTACTTTCTTTCGTGAAAGGGACGACGAAGTATCGCGCATGAACCATAAATTGTTTTGCAATACTGGCAACAGTTTAACTAGATGAAGTGATGAATTGATGACTCGTCAAAAAACTCCCGTAGTTTCTACCTTATGAAGCAGTTCGTTTCTTCTTACTCTTTTTCCTTCTTCTTCTTCCTCTTCGTCTCGTTTCCTTTAATATTTTAAATCCGCGAAAGGAAAATAGGCGGAAGCGACAAAGATCGTTTATACTCATAGATCCGAGATAATTATGCCACAAACAAGTCGCCGAATTAATGATTCTACATCGTAGATGAAGGGAAATGTCCCTTCTTCCTGAAATAAATGAAATTTTAAGGAAAAACCTCCGTCCTCTTCTAAATTTCGTCGAGGAAAAGGCCGTATTGAGTTGGGTTGAAACTTTTGATACACGTCGTGTGATCGCCTTCTTTTATCGGAGGAGGCAAAACTGGAACTTGGGAGTGCGAATTGTGGTATCCAATCTGTCCTTAAAAAAGTGTTGAATCCCCGAAAGTAGAAGTTTCCACGTGCCACCAGGAGGACAGCGGGCCGATTATTGAAATTTCTAGACAAAGCTATAGACAAAGAAGACATAAGGAGTATGTGCCAATAGGATCGCCAATAGGGCGATCCTATTGGTTGAAATGGGTAATTTTTATAGACGAAAGGGATAAATGATGGACTTACTATCGAGTCTCTCGTGGGTTGCCGTTGTAAGTCTATTACCTACGTCCCTTGTCCATTGCAACCACCCGCTTCCACCAATAGGATCTCTCCATTTCCTTTTTGTCTTCTTTGCCTATTGATTTGTCTATTAATTTCAATAATCAGCTCGCAGTGGAGGGTCTCTTGTCTCTGGCTTTTCGTAACTTTTCCTCGACATGGACCTGACGTTTTGCTACCTACGTCCCTTGTCCATTGCAACCACCCGCCTTCACGAATAGGATCCCTCCATATCCTTTTTGTCTTCTTTGCCAATTGCTGTGTCTATCAATATCAACAATCGGCCCGCTGGATCCGCCTATGATCTCTGGAGAGGCATTTTTTTCAGAATCCTTGATTTATCACCTTCCCCCAAAAAAATCTTAAGAAATATAAAAACCTGGCAATGTAGATCCATAGAAACAGCCCCGGCATCCATGGCCTCCCCTGTCCCCCTCGTATCCATCATCGGGCACCAAACTCGTTTATTTCGATGATAAATTCAAAATTCAAAGCATGCGGCCCGTCTCTTGTCTCTGGTTTTTCGTGACTTTCCCTTGGCATGGACCTGACGTTTCGTCTTTTTGTGTGTTTCAGTGTAACTGCACGGACAACCATTGCCGGGAGCAGAAGAAGCGGGTGGAGGTGTGCCGGCCGTCGGTGCTGACGGCGACGCAGGCGGAGTCGGTGGTCTCGTGCGAGGTGGCCCAGTGGATCTGCTCCTCGGATGGGCAGTGCTCGACCGCCCTCGAGTACTACCACAAGCACTGCAAGGCCATGTTCCGCGGGAAGAAGTGCTCCAAGCGCTGCCTCAACTCCATCAACATCCTCATGCGCCAGGAGAAGGCCAAGAAGCTCAACACCTGCATCTGCAACTCCCGCGACGGCGTCCAGTGCTGGACCGTCCAGAGGAACATGGACCGACTCTGCTTCAACAAGACCCGCAAGCCGTGCGAGCGACTCGAGTCCAACGAGATCTTCCCTCTGGAGTGCAACTCCGGTTCTTCAACCCTCGTCGTCTTCACCTCCGTCGCCCTCTCCTTCTTCATGTTGTTGAAGCCCATCAGTAGTTTCCTCACCGTTTGACACTTGACAGACTCAAGTTTGACCGCCCGGCGGCCCCTGATGTGCTAGAAGAGTGCAACTCAAGTCGAATGTGATTAAGGAGCAGCCCTATGTGTACTAGATGAGAGGGTAAAGAAGATTTCAACCCAAGATGAACGAAATCGTCTCCATACATTCGTGCTTCCCACTTCGGTTGCCCTCTCGCTTTTGTTGTTGCTGAAATCCAATAGCAGCAGCAGAAGTGGCAGTTTCCTCACAAGTTTGTAGATCCCTTAATGGGTCAGTTGCGCTGGTCACAATATCTTTGTTTTGATGCTTGGTTTTTGTATATCAGCAAAGAAAAATGAGATCTGTTCAAACAGCAATTTTCTGCGTTCAATAATAACCGAGATATCACGCTTTGAAAAATGACGTCATCCACCGCGGTAGTGACACCCTTTGTATCTTCCACCTCACTTTCATCAATCGGTGAGAAACACATTTGCAAGAATTCGGAAGAAACCAAGGGTGTCACTGTCGCGGTGGTTGACGCCATTAACCGAATTTTTCAAAGCGTTATACCGCCGTTAATATTGAACGTTAGGAGTTGCTGGTTGGACAGATATCATTACTTTTAGCCTATCTACAAGAATCGAGCATCGAAACACGATTCTGTAACCAGCACAACTCACACATTGAACTAGGTTGCGGCCATGGATGGACTCCTTGGCAAGCTGTGAAAGAAGGGAAAAAAGCATGTATCTGAATCAGCACTTCTGTGCATCTGCTCTAGTTTAAGAAACACGCACGAATGTATGAATTCAATGCTTAAACTCCAAAGTCTTATATTTCAAGCGTGACGCGCCGAAATTTTCGCGCATTTTCGATTTATTTTCTAGAATCAACACCAACTTAAACTAGAAATTTTCACCGATTGAAGAGGATCCGGTACAGAAAATCAAAAAATATTCCAAGACCCAATGTATTTTTGTTTACGATTTTCTGAAAGGACGTATGCGCAGGAATTTTGAAACGTTGCGATTGAAACCCTTGATTCTCAACCTAATCCATCGAAATGCCCTTGTCCACATTGCGCTGTTCGTCAAAATTCTTTACGATAGGGAGTTTTTGCAAGAGGTATCTGCCTGAGCCGTACAAAATCCAAGTGCGTGCAACTTAAGTTGCATCATCAATTAGTCAAGCCCTCACCGTCTTTTATTATTTTCCTATAAACGCTCTTTCCCTCGCCTGTTAATTGTTAACTACCCAATTAATTGTACCCTTCCACTCCACAACGCTCTCGTTGCCCGAATTGGACGTACTTCTATCAAACGGGACTAAGTGCATTATGACGTGAGCCCTAAAACCCATAAGAATATGTGCATATCAGGGCTCACGTCGTTATGCACATAGTTCCGTTTGATAGAAATACGTCCAATTTATGTCCGCTATCTGTGGTTTATCGAAGCCATCACATCAACGCTCTTGGTGGGCCTATTTCAAGCTTGTTTTTTCGTCGGAGCGTTGATGAATGTTCCACGCAGTGGCGTGGCGTGTTTTGCGATTTATCGATCGATCTGCCATTTAAAACTATGGAAAAGGATCGATACACAGGGTGTTTGCAACGAACACCTTAAAAATCGATTATTTACTATACTTTTAAATGGCAGATGGGTGAATCGTTATCGAATGATCCTGACCGATGAATCCCTATCCTAGCAATGCTTTTTATCGATCATGGTCGATTATTTCCGATACATTCCATATCGATTCGACGATCGAGACTCCGGTGAGTGGAAGAGCCGATGCAAAAGCTGAGGCATCACAGTGATCACAAAGTAAACTTCTATTTTAAAAGTTTTTTTTGCAAGATAATAAAATTGAAGGGAGAAATGTAATTTTCAGCCCAGAAACCGCAGTTTCTATACTTTTTATGGGTTAGAAAGTCTTAACATGATATTTAGACTTTAAACCCAAAAAGATTCTCTCCCGGAATCTTAGGAATGGTATAACTTTTCATTTTCGCCTCCTTCATTCACCAAAAGTTTCCTCTGATATGTCACGCAAGGCTTGATTTTGATGTAGTCTTTTTTTCCTCTTTTTTCTTTTTAATCGTTTTCATGGCCTTTAAAGCGTAATCAGTGACTTTTGTGATGCTTTCTTCAATCCGAGGAATTCTCGATAAGAAGAGTTAAGAGCAAGTTATTGCACTGATTCAGGTTCTAGGTATTCTATGGGAATGAACCCATTTATTTATTTTCCTTAAAAATGTTCCGACAAAACCTTTGACGGCCTTTCATACATTTTAAACTCATTTGATTTCCATTTTTCCCGGTCTTTTCTTAGGGCTGATGATTTTTACGTCTTCAGACAGATTTTGGCGAATAGTAAAAAATTCTCGATCAACTGCAACTAATATTTTATTTTTTTTTATTTTTGTGTTTTTAAATTGTTGTATTAACTGCATTCCCAGTCGGACCGCATGAAGCAGTCTAAAGCAAATAAGCCTTATGATAAACCTGAACGAAGTCAATCCTTGTTTTTCCCCTCTATCAATGCTGAGCGGCAAGTTAAAGCGATCACCGTTCTATTTTTGGCTTCGAATAAATTAAGGATCACCAGCACATCGATGTTTGTAATCACCCGGTGAAACTGTCATGTTCAGCTGAATCCAACCTCGAAGGAATTTTACTGTGTTTAAGTTAAGGCGGTAGGAGGCAAAAGATTTATTGCGTTTAACAACTGGAGTTTTTTTCTCATTTTATTGCCCAACAACATTACACGTGTTTCAGGAAATTATTAAGAATTTCAGTGAGAAAATCAATTGAAATTTTCAGTAGTTTTTATCAGATTCATATTCCCTTTGAAATTTGTCAGTCCTACGGAAAGGGACTCGCAAAGTTTTCTACAAGTTACCCAGTGAATAACTTAAATCCCGATAATTAGGCGTTTTTAATTGATTTTTGTAGATAGTTGTTTGTAATTTGTTATTTCTTTGTACATAGCATCCTTTAATTTAGTTTTAAGTTGTTATCTACCTCAGATCGTTTATTTCTTTTGTATGAATACACTTTATCAATATTGGAATTTGATGAGCTGTTCAAATGTTCAAATTCATTCTTTTTATGTTCTATTAAAAAATCAAAATGTTCGATTTTCAAGGCATCATGACTCTTATTCAGGAAATGATGATCCCTCCGTAGTTTTTTGCATTTTTTTCTTCCGGTGAACTAAGTCATTGAAAAATCATTGTGTTATTTTATTCTTTCAAAATTTTGAAGCGAATTCAAATAAGCACTCATTTCCCTAATGTATCCTTCCACCAGATTGTTGAGCCTATCAGTTGTATATTTATACACTGATGTATTATCAATAATTCCTGCTCAAAAATTGAAAAAAGTTGTTTGTACCTATGTTCGGTATTTGTAAAGTCGTTATTTTTTATGTTTTAGTTTATCTCTTTGTATAGATCCTCCTTGCATTTTTTATTTTGTGTTTTACACCAAATATATCCTCGACAAAATTAATTTTCTGTTCTCAATTGTGCACCTTTTTTTACACGGACCCTTGTGGTTTTAGAAGGGACTCACTCTATTTTAATTACACAAATATTTGAAATATTTTCTCACATTGATCAACTTTACTCTTCAAAAACTCTAAATAATTCAGTATGAAGTACCATACGTTGATCACCAGTGATTTCAATTGAAAAATGTCACGACGAAGCTTTGGTAAAATGAAAAATAGAAAGGAAACAGTCTTTTGACCTTATTTTTCAATGATTAATGTCATGTTCAAAGGTAAACTTTGCAAGAATTTTTTGATGTATTTACGTTGAATGGAATTAGCCAAGCACAATTAAATCGAAAGGAACTGTGTGTACAGGGTTTGCATGAAACAGTCTTTTTATCTACAACAGTTCATTTGCAAATAGTTTCTTTTACCATAAAGTCCATTTTACAATTTTAATAACGTGGCATCTCTATTGCTTTACAATACCATAATCTGTAGTACGTACCTAAACTTGGTATTTTGATACGGTCATCATAGGGCGAGATAAAGCATTTGTCGCCCCTTCATGCAAAGGTCTAATAACTCGGAAGATTAAAGTTTTATTTTGGAAATCTTAAAGGAGATTTATATTAGACTCCCGATTATCCGCGGATTCTTTCCGGGAGCTTTTTTGCGTGATAGACTAGTCACTGAAACACTACTGAAACACTATTTGTGTTTAAATATGTTTGGCATTAGAACTGCCTTCAAAGTAAAATTTATTCGTTAATAATCACATTCTTTTGCCCACACTGAACTCTTTTCAACCGAATCTCTCAAAAGTTAAGCAGCGCTTTACCAAAAAATAAAAAGGTTGGAAAGAGTTAAAAATATTGGTACCTAGGCAAATTACATTTCTATCTTAGTACGAAATGATAAATGTTTTAACTGAGTCTTGTAAAGTACATATTTTCGATAACTTTTCCTTGCCAAACAGCTCAGTTTCCGTTTATCCGCGGATGTCCCGGTATGGTAACCGCGGATAATCTCAACTATGCTTTCCTGAAAATGACTAATTTTCTGCCCTGCCTAGAAAAACATCGTATGAGTCTTCAGACATTGCCTAGCTTCTTTTGATTAAACACAAATTTTCAGGAAAATATTGGAAAACTTTTCCTCTCAATTTTCATAGGATTTTATTTGCAATCAAATCTAAATTATCTGAAAATTCCAAGTGAAAATATTCGAGATGGAGAATTTGCATGCAAATTTTTTATTGCTTCATCAGAAAAGCCTTTAAAAGAGCTGATTTCACAGTATTTTTTTAATTTTCTTCTGATATGGGAAATATTATTAAAATAGATTTAAAAGGGAGAAAATGCACCGCCTAGTGACGTCATTTGGCGGCATTTCCCGTTTTAACACATGCATTTTAGCAGAGTAGATCATTTTGTCATATCTTCTCCAATAATTGTTTAATTCATGAACCGAGGGTATCCTCGTGTTCAGTTCACTCGATAGTTTCCAATTCAACACGAAATTCATCAATTTCAGACACCCGCAAATTCTCTATTCATTAAAAATAAACATTTAGCACTGAAAAAAAAGTAGCTTGGATCAAGCATGATAGTTCTTGAATTTGCCGCCAAGAATTTTCTTTATCTTGCTATAAGATGAATTTTTCTTGATTCAAGAAAAATAATGCTTGGGTTAAGCAAAAAAAGTAGCTTATATTAACCAGCAAAATTCTTGATTTAAGAAGAAATACTTCTTGGCGGCAAATTTAAGATTCTTTTTTTTCTAGTGAGCGGAGAAAATTTGGCAACTCTCGAATGTTCTCACGGCGTTTTTCCTTAGCGCTGGAGCTTTGACACGGTATCGGTGCTTTGATTTGGGCTTTTGATGTGGGTGCCGGCCCTGTGCCCCGAAAGTCCCGGGTGTGGGAGCGGGAAGGGAGGAGGGTGGAGGATATTGTTATCTGCGGCGACACCTCGGCCTCGATGAGTAGATTGTCGGCTGTAACAAATAAGATAATGAAGGGGACCACCAGGGAGGGCCTGGGTGATCGCCTTGAGTCCCGCCCGGGCCCCGGGTCCGCCGCCGCGAGTCTGGACCAACGTCTTCTAGACGCGGCTCCTCCGACTCACCGCCCTGCCCGGCCGCCCCAGTGACGCGACGCTCCACAGTCGGCCCCCGCCTTCCAGCGTTGTCGGCCAAGGTAGATTTACACAGGTATGGAGAAGTTGAAAATTTCCCATGAGCCTCAGTACGTGTCACATGACTACGTGACGTAGGTTAAGGGGCCCGTTTTTTAATTAAATTACAATCAAAATTCAAATTAACATTCAAACGTTTGTGCGTTTAAACGTTAAAATTAATATCGCATTATCAAAATTGTGCAAAAAATCCCACAAAATTTTGACAAACGATAAACCGAACATAATAAATCAAAATAATCAAAACATACAAATGGCGGAAGTTAAGGGGCCGCTGGAGAGCCAATCAGAGGCCAGTTGTTTAGTTCTGTCCATACCTGTGTAAATCTACGTTGGTTGTCGGCTGCCAGGTTCAATCTCACCGGGGCAGAGTGCCATGGAACGTTAAGAGGAAGAAATGAAAGATTGGAAATTCAGCGAAATATCTCATGAAATTTCACGAGGCTGTGAAATATTTCATATTTTTCACGGGCTAGAGTACTGCCGTGCACGGAGAAAAAAACCTCGTGCGTGGGACCCGAAGTTTAGGTCATATGGATCTCTGAAGTTCTCGGATTGAGCATCCGAACACTTATAAGGTCCAGCTGCTGAGGTTTGGATCACACATCTGAAACTTCAGCTCTTACGTCTGAAGTACTTCAGATGTGAGATCCGAAGTTTTTCGGATGTGAAAACCGAAGTAATTCAGATGTAAGAACTGAAGTTTCAGATGTGTGATCCAAACCTCAGCAGCTGGACTATAAGTGTTCGGATGCTCAATCCGAAAACTTCAGAGATTCCTATGACCTAAACTTCGGGTCCCACGCACGAAGTTTTTTTTCTCCGTGCTAAAGAAGAACGCCGTATGAACATTCGAGAGTTGCCAAAATTCCTTCGATAAAATGTTCATTTTTGAGAAAAGTTATTATATTTCCTTGAAATTTTCAGGAACTTTAGGTGAAATTGCAAGCAAAAGTATCTGAAAGCTCGGAAATAAAATATTCGTAAGTTTACCGGGAAGTTTGTGTTTTATCCAAGGAAATTTGGCAACGCCTGGAGGTTCATACGACGTTTTTCCCTAGCACGGCAGAGTATGCGACCCGCACTCAAACACACGTAAATAGAAGAAATTCACAATTTTTACGATTCGCGAAACGTGAAAAAGGACCGGTATTTTTCGATATCTTCATAAATTTCTGAAATTTCATGAAGTATAATATTTCACGTGAAATTTCAAGATTTTATTTTTCATGAAATTTTGCCACCCTACACCAGGGTTCTCGTCTTGAAAAAGTTGGCAATCTAAAATTGCCGCCAATTTTCCGATTCTAAGAATTTCCACGGAGCCCAGCAGAGAAACTGTGCTGCCCAGGCTCGGACTGGCTATAAGGCCAATCTGCCATTGACAGATACGCGCCCCTCTGACAGATAGCAAAATATAAGAGGAGAAAAAAAATTACGACCGAGAATATATGCGGAAAATTTCTGATGTGAACGGACGAAGAGAGAGTTAGGAGTGAAGAGAGGTCCAAAAACTACTTTCTGAAGCGTAAACACTTTTCTGTGAAATTCTCACCTTTTTGTTGACATACAGGTGCTTTATCATCCCCCTCCTTCATTCTCTATGTGTAACTCCCGTAGAAGCGATAGCAGGTTCGATTTTTAGACATACGCACACTTTATAGACCTTTTGAGAGACCTCTAAACATATTTCTTCCTCTTCAAAATGACTATTGATTTGGACATATCGTAGCATATCTCAGGCAAACGTAACCTTAATTTATTTCGAAATTCAAAAGTAAAAGATATCTAAAGTGTAAACGCGATACAACTATTCTCGCATGATGGATGTCCACATTGCATATGAAAAATGTATGCTCTGATCTAGTTTAAAGCAACATCACAAATAAGACAAACGGAAACAAACACAACATGGAATTAGAGAGAGGGAAAGGATGCGCGTTAACGACGGCGCAGAGATACAACTATTCGTACTTGATGGACGTCCGTACTGCATCTGAAAAATTGAAGGCGCGATGACGCGAAGCGTGAGTTCTCAATGCTCTGCTATATGCTGCCAATGAGGTGTCGCTCAGATTCGGGAGAAAAGTTAAAAAAGAGGCCCGAACACATCTCTCTTACCTTTGGCTGTGTTATTCACGTAATTCTTGAAGCACAATTACGAATAAGACAAACGCAAACGAACACAACATGGAAATAAAGCCAGGGAAAGGATGCGCGGTTAACGACGGCGCAGAGATACAACTATTCGTACTTGATGGACGTCCGTGCTGCATCTGATAAATTGAAGGCGCGATGACGCGAAGCGTGCGTTCTCAATGCTCTGCTATATGCTGCCAATGAAGTGTCGCTCAGATTCGGGAGAAAAGTTAAAAAAGAGACCCGAATACGTCTTTCTTGTCGTCGGCTGTGTTGATATTCGTTCTTTCTTCTTTTTTCAGGTTCTGGCCTCATTCTTTTTTAGGGTGGATTTTTAGACCCACGTCTTAAGCTCGTGTAAACCGCAGCACTGACAAGGTTCTTTTGGAAAGAATGGTGCTTTGATGCGTCTTGTGTCTTTGATTTTTTATGTTTTCTTTAATTTCAGAAGTCTGTCGGTCACTTCAATAGTTCAATTTTACAATTTTTACTCTGTACGATCAATAAACTTTGAACCTGAAAATAGCGTTTTGTGTGCTTTGCCAAAATTTTCTGAACCCCTCTCCACGAAGGGGATGCTTCATCAGGAAATATAACATTACGCCCCTTTAACCAGCCAAGGGTCTGCGTCCTGAGATGCGAGCCAGTCCGACCCTGGTGCTGCCGAACTCTGATTGGTC